GTGGGTGTGGGTGTGGGTGTGGGTGTGGGTGTGCGTGTGCGTGTAGAGTATGTGTGGGTGTCAGTGTGGATGTTGATCTTGGACTCCTGATTCGCCGACGCCCACACCCACACCCACACCCACACCCACACCCACCCACACCGACACCCACCCACACACCCACCCACACCCACCCACACCCACACCCACACCCACACCCACACCCACACCCACCCACCCACACCCACACCCACCCACCCACACCCACACCCACACCCATAACTAAACGAGGCAAAGAGAGTATAACCAGTACTAATGGACTGATTATAAGATTTTTATTTTGTTTAAACTGTTGACGTAAATTTTGCCGAAATGATTGTTGTTTAGCTGTAGAGCGACGTCGAGCGATCATTATAATAATGATTATAGCAGAGACGATATTTATTCCAAATGGAATTAAAAAATGACTTAATAATATGATTGAATTAAAAACTTCGAATGAAGTTGAATAAGTTACTACACACCAAATACGTTTATCATGTTGATCATCAATTAAACAACGATGTAGAGGATCATGAATGTTACTAAGAATATTGAAGAAAATTATATCGATAATCATCCATCGAGCAAATTTTCTACTCATTTTTTTGTTAAAATCAATCAAAATAACGCTTAGAAGACGTTGAATAGCTACACATGCATTTAACCAATTGTCTGTACTTAAACAAGTACGTAATAAAAAATCAATAATTATACATTCTAAAGATAAAAATTTTCGATTGCTAATTACAGTCATTTGTGAAAGAAGGAGTAACCAAAACTTAATAACGAATAGAGTCATTGTCATTAATGAAGTTATAGATGAAGCATATAAATAATAACCACAACCAATTTCACGTGGAGTTTTACCTTGAAAAGTCAAAACACATAATAATCCACTAATAATACCTACTACAAACATAACAATATTCACAATAAGTGAAATTTTAATGATAAATGTTTGTTTTCGAAAGGAAACATTTGGACGAATATGACTACCAAGAATAATGTCAAGTGAGATACCTGTACTATTTGATGAAAATTGACAACGAGAACCATAATGACATTCAGTACAAACACATGCTGATGTTGATGGACATTCCGAATCATCTTGTAAACATTGTGCATCATTTTCACAGTAATTAATACCTTTACAGTCATGCGATAGACTATGATTGAATTTAAAACAATTACTTCGATGATAAAGATCACAAATGCATATAAATGTCATATCATAAAAACAAGCAAGATTTTTTTGTTGAACACATGGAACATGATAATATTTTATACGACGGATAAGTGGAAGTTTCATAATAGTTTCATTGAAAAATATAGACATAGATAGACATTGATATGATGGTTGTACTTTAGTTGATAGAAATGCTGTTTCGTTTGATGTTGTTTGTATAGCAATTAAAAAATAATTTTCTTCAATTTGTGCAAAGACAATATGAAACGGAATTGAAACAAATACAATAGCTGATGTCTCATAGACAGGAATATTTGTTAAAAATGTTACTCGTTTTGGATGATTTTTAGATATAGCGGTCACTAAATGAAGAAGAAGATTCGAAGGAATTGACATTTCATGATCGAATGTAATTTCAATACGAGTTGCTATTTGTTCACATCGTTGTCCAAAAAATCCATCAGGACAGATACATATAAAACCATTTTCTGCTATGTGTACATTAGCAGCCACACAAATTCCACCATTGAAACATGAGTTTATCTGGCATACAGGACGCGTAAGTAAACAATGCGGTCCAAATTTGTTTAATGGACAAACACAAATAGATTGATTATTGTAGACACCAACACATGTTGAATCAAGTGAACAATCGCATTCATATTTAATATTACATTTTGCTCCAGACCAACCTGCATTACATCGACAAAATAAATTATTTGTATTGACATATCGATAACATTGACCATGTATACATGACAATGAACATTGTTGTAGTGAAGTAGCACGGGTTAGTGGTATAAAAATAAGAAGAGACATACGATTAACTGGTAAAAATATAAATGGAATTGGATAATGCCAACTAGCATAGTAAACAGTTGATGTATGTTGTTTGATGAATGCATCAATTTTTATCGAATAATTTTTAGCAACATCTTTTGGTCGACTAGCATAGAGTAGATAAAGATCGAAGCTAGCGTTACAATCTCGAAATGCCAAATAGTCTATTTGCTTTTCTGAATTGATTGACTGTTGTTCATCATCAGTGACCAATGTCAATATCAAAGAAAATACAATACGCCAATTAGATGGAGCTCGTATACCTAATGTAAGACTGACACGTTCATTTTGAAATTGACATGTGTCTCCATAGTATGCGGGTGGACATAAGCATTCGTAGTGTTTGTCATCTAATGTTCGAATACGCACAGGTATACCACGATTACAATACAAGTTCACTGGAGATGATTTTGATAAAGATACGTGTCTTAAGGTTGTTGTTTTAGGAAAGTTCAGCATGGGTTTTTGTCGTATAAACAGTGTAGGAATAGGAAAAATAGGTAGATTATCAAGGCGCAATGATGGTTCAAAGCGTGGTACCTTTCCTTCACCAAATGTGCATAGGAACTTTTTCTCTTTACTAAATTCATGGATGTTAATAGAACATCCAATACTTGTTTTATTGAAATCATTGGAACAGAAATTTTCATCATCATTCAATGGACAATTTGGTCGTTGATTACATATTTCATGTTTACTGATACATATGCTTGTATTTGCACATCGAAATAGATATTGATTACTTAATGGATATTGTGTTTGACATAATTGTCGTTCATCCGTTCCTCCTACACAATCATCAATATTATCATTAACACGAGAGATATGTAAACATGTTAATTTAAATGTTGTCAAAGAAACACATTCATGTTCCAATGGTAGTAGACAATGAGATGATGGACAATTGACTTCATCTAAACCATTTAAACATGTCCAAAAACCATCACAATGTGTATAAGTATTATTACATTGCCATAATTCACATTCAGTTTCATCTGTAGCATTAATATGTGTAAGAGAATAATATCCATCACAAATTGCGGAGAATGTTAACCGATTTTCGAAACGATCATTATCAAATATTTGTTCGTCTATAGAAAAGAAAATAATATAATACATTCATTTTTAAGTACAATACCATTTTCATTTGGACATGGATATAGATCAGAATTATGTAAAGAACATTCTTCATCATCACCAAGTCGACAATCACGTATACCATCAAGAATACGATGTTTCGATATACACTTTGTTGAATTAATACAATGATAAAGTATTTTTGAACATTGTATTTCTTCTGATGATAAACATTGATCAGTTATGATTAATTGAATTTGTCGAAGCAGATATAGCCAATTTTTATAACTATGATGCAAATTCAACACAGATCTATTCCAACATAATGAACCATTTATAGATAATATCTGATGATGAGTACATTGTCGATCAGTTTCCATGCAAATAAAATCTGGTGAAAAACTCAGTATTTCAGATACGTTAGGAAATTGATTGTAATAAATGAAATGAAGACGACCAATACTTGTAAAACCTATTGTAAAATCAAATAAAGGTGGACAATGTTCTTTAACAGCAACATTTAGACAATGTTGTGACGAACAAATTCTTTGACATTCTTCATTATATTCGTATGTTGGCAGAATCTCTTGCATGCAGTTGAGTGCTTGAATGCAGACCTCTGATAGAGATACACTGCTAGCCTTTATCATGGCTAAACGTAATCGCTTATCTCGTCCATTTTGGCATCTATAATAACCGCTCACGCATGATCCATCACCACAAGGCCATTCACGAAAATCTTCTTTTAATTGACACAAGCTTTCTTCGCAGCGAAATGCTGGATTCGTAGGACATCTTTCAGTTGGAAATTTATAAGTCTTGTGTTTTTCATCGGATCGATCAAGACAGTCAGCATCAAACACATCATCAGCCACAAACATTTTAGGAATACATTGAAAACCATTCTGACATCGAAATTGATTTTCGTCACATTGATTCTCTTCGAGTTGACTACAGTTTGCTTCATCAAGACCATTTAAACAATCAATTGATCCATCACATATTTCGCGCCAATCAAGGCAGAAATTCATTCCTCCTCCTCGATCACATTTGATATGATTATAACATGTATCATTTTCGATTTTATCATAATTCTTACCGATAGTACTTAAAACGATTTCATCAAAAGATGTACTTGAATCGAACCTATAATGACAAAAACGCCCAAACCATGGTCGAGTACAGTTATAGAAAATGTTAGAAGCTAATTTTGTTTCGTTCATATTTAAGTAATACTGATAATCTTTGATTAAATCAATAGGTGCTGACCATAAATACAATTGATTACTTGACACACCCATTTGTTGTAGTATATCAAATGTAAAATTATTGAGTATGTTCGTTATTGAATCAATATTCATATTATTATTATAATCATTGTGTGGACGTTTGCAATATTCAATTATTTGAATAGATTTTACATGAGGAAAGTTTGAAGATTGATGGCTAGTTGGAAATATTACAGTTTCTTCGTATACATAGTGGTGAAGACAATCATAATCTCTTTCTCTTACATGTTTTCTCCATGGTTCACTCTCATACATAATGAATTTGAATCCTTCATTCTTTGACCAAATAATGAATAACGAAAAAACATAGTATAAAAGTAGCTGCATGTTGATGACGATTTTTCCTTTCGTAGATTTTACATTGAATACTTCCAGAATAATTTTATGATCAAACAGATTGTTATAAATGAATTGTATTATTAGAAATATAACTTCCTTTTGTGGAACTCACGTATATTTTCGAAGAAAATAGTGAGTGTAAGTTTTAAGTTCAAGGTTTTGCGGCTCCCCCTCCCACCTCCCCCTTCCCTTACAGACAGGTCCCCTACAGACCATAGCAACGAAAGAGAACATTACATACACACCCCCCCCCCCCCCCTTACAGACCATAGCAATCAAAAAAAACATTACATACACATACACTGAAAAAAAATGGTACGATACCGAACCAAAAAAGGTACTTTGAACGAAAAAAGGGTTTCGTACATCGTACAGAACCTAAAAAGGTTTCGAATTCGTTGCAATTCTCTAAACCATTTTAGGTTCGGTACAGACCACTTCGAAAAACTTGAAAAAGTGTTCTGAGTCAAAAACAATCAATTTTAGTCACCGAAAGTTTCGTACGAAATCTTTTGAGGGTTTCGTATTGTCTTCCTAAATGGTTCCGTAATCATACCAATTTTTTGCAGTGTACCGAACCATTTAGGAAGACAATACGAAACTCTCAAAAGGTTTCGTATAAAACTTTCGGTGACTAAAGTTGATTGTCATTGACTCAGGACACTTTTTCAAGTTTTTCGAAGTGGTCTGTACCGAACCTAAAATGGTTCAGAGAACTGCAAAGAAATCGAAACCTTTTTAGGTTCTGTACGATGTACGAAACCCTTTTTTCGTTCAAAGTACCTTTTTTGGTTCGGTATCGTACCATTTTTTTTCAGTGTACCCCCCCCCCCCCCTTACAGACCATAGCAACCAAAAAAGAGCATTACATACACATACCGCCCTCCCTTACAGACCATAGCAACCAAATAGAATATTACATACGCATACCTCCCCCCCTCTTCATTACAGACTGCAACAACCGTAGTCATCAAATAGTCGATGGTGGAGAAAAATAACTTCAAATTAGAAAAACAAAAAAAAGATTATTATCGAGTATATAGCAATAATTATAAATGAAATCCAGCGCGCTTAAATGAAAAAACAATATTTTCTTTTTTTAATATATTTTTCTAATATACAAATAAATAATAAATTCCCGCTCTTTTCATCGATTCTCAAGGAAAACAACTATAGTTGACGAGAAGTCTTTCAGTATACAGATGATGCGTCAGGTAACAAAGCTAAAAGTATACGTGAGTTCCACATTTCAGCTCCGCAGGAGCTGCGCTGACAAGCTTTTTTTTTGCTTGTCAATATACATTTGAATGATTGACATTTCGTCATTGAATGAATGAATTCATATTCATCTTTTATTGAACCATATGCTTATCTATGATATATTCATCTTTATCAAACATTCTATTGATTTTTAAATGCATGAACAGAAGTTTTATTATTTCAACGAATCGTTTGCACTATCAACTGATAGTTATAATAAAACTGCGAAAAAAAACAGTCAATGGCACTTATTTTATTACTGTACAGTATTTTCAAGAACGGAGTACACAGGGCGTTCCATAAATAACATGGTGATAAGATATTTAAATATTCTCACTCTGGTTCAAATCAGATGGACTGATATTTTGGTTAATGGTAGAATTTTACTCAACATTTTTTTCATATGAATAATGTAAATAAATACTACTATTAAGTATTATGGTTGGTCTTATGAAAGAAATTGTATCTGATATAAAGTAAGAAAAATAAATGTGAAGCCATTCTGTAGATAATTTTCAATTGTCATTTGAGAGAATGAAAAGAAGAACTCAAAACAAACTTTATTAATGATATTGGATTGATGTACATGGAGAGGATTTTGAGAACTAGTTACTCTAAATGCTGAAATTCATGTTCGACCACAAAAATGCACCGTTTAGGCACTGAGGGTGTGGGTGTGGGTGGGTGGGGGTGGGTGTGGGTAGGGTGTGGGTGTGGGGTGTGGGTGGTGGCTGAGGGTGTGGGGTGGGTGTGGGTGGGTGTGGGGATGGGGGGTGTAGGTGGGTGTGGGGATGGGGGGTGTGGGTGGGTGTGGGGATGGGGGTGTGGGTCTGTGTGGAGTGGCTGTGACTGTGACTGTGACTGTAGCTGTTGCTGCAGAGAAAAAGCAAACCCACACCCACACTCCACACCCCACACATCCACATCCACACCCCACACCCACACACCCACACCCCACACCCACACACCCTTTTAGATTACTTGATGATAAATAATGAAGAAAGTGAAATAATGTTGAAAACAATTTTGCACTCAAGTAAATTTCTGTAATTAATTCATTTCAAAAGAATTTTTGCTTGAAGATGAAGATTGATTTACAAGAACATTGAAATTTTCCTGGAGACAAATCGAAGGAAGCATTTAACATTTTATCGAACTATAATCACTTTGAAAATAAATGAATAACATGCGGTGCAAAAGTCTTTGCAAAAATGTTCGACTCTATT